GCTAAGCTATAGCCGCCCGCCGAGGAATTCGAATTCTTGGACACGCCTCGTGCTCCGGCGGCACGCCGCGTATTTATAGGAGAGAAGGAGAAGAGGGCGAGGAGGAAGAAGAAAGAAGCTCTCCTCTTCCGGAAAGGCGCGGCAACTTTGGAGGGAAGCTCAGCAAGTTTAAAAAGGCTGAAGGGGGTTTTAAATGCTGGTACTAATCAAGACGATGAATGATCTTGGAAGCTTGCTTGGGTTGCGCTAATGGCGGGATGGCCCCACCGTCCCAGGCAATTGGAGGCGCAGGGGAGGGAGGAATTAACTGCGGGGGCGAGCAACCCATGTTGATGCTGCTGCTGCAGCCTGCAGGCCTGCAGGGGAAGAGAAGCTGCTACTGGTAACTGCGCGCTCTGCCGTGCTGCCATTTTTACCTTCTGCATGCAATTGGAACTGTGAATTTCTGAGTGGTTACTGACGGCCGAACCAAGCAGAGCAGAGGTTGGGCTGTGCCAGGGCCAGGGAATTTCCTTCTGGAGACTGGAGGGTGTGTCCTCATGTCAGCGGCTGTGTTACTGCTGCTGTGCTGCTTGGGAGAGGGAGCTGCAGCCTGCAGTTGCAGTCTTGCAGGGTGCGTAGGCAGGCAGCAGCTAGGCATAGGCATTTTTGTGGGCCGGAACTAGGTGGTCGGAGCCGTTGGATGGAGCATCGGACGGCTGAGATTGAGGCCGGCGAAACGAGTGGTGTAGCAGCATCGTGCAAGTGAGCCACCAGCAAAGCAATACGGCCATACGGGTGGTGTAGGTGTAGCAGCATTGTTTTTCACCACACAGGATTAAATTTTTGAAATGCGTTCGTGGTGCGCCAATGAAGTTGTGTTACGTGAAGTACATTGTGGTTAAAGGAGACAATTATGGCAAAGTTCTTTACAAGACACAACTTGATATGACACGGTCTTTCAAGTTACAGTACAATTTAACCATCTGTTTATTTTATTTTATATTATTTACATTTACAAATCTATCCCTATCAAGTTTGTGTTATAATAATTAAAAATTGTTAGCCAAATTATTGGTCGAAGTTTTCTTAAGTTTGAATCTTGATATGCCATTTGCACCTTATAAATAAAAAAGAATGGAGGTAGTAATCCCTCCGTTGATTGCAAGAGAAAGAGTAGTCCGATTGCATTGCACCTGTTGTTATCTAACCAGTAAAAGTTTGTATTATTAGTAGATCGGTTCATTGCAAATTTAAACGCTTTTATTTTCGGTTTTCCTGATCTACTCTAAAATACTATAATTATGGCGTAACCTAGTTCAATCCTGCGTGTTCGTCTCTGATCGAAAGACATGACATACATGATCATGGCCCTAGCTAGCTGGTTGGCTCTTCCGTTCTTGTGGCCACATGATGGTGAGTTACGTTACCTAGCCAGTCAAGTGTGGTCATGTGTCATGACACCACATGGCGATTAGAGGTACAATACAACGCTCGTACTAACCTCCGTGTTAACTGCGAATTCGAATTGAAACGTTGAAGAATTAAATGGAAGCTCCACGGATTTACTCCCAGGTTAAAAACGCTCCAGACGATAGAACGGAAGGGCTTAGTCTTTGACCGTTGAGTTCAATTCAAATTCGTTCGTCAACGGTAGTCGCCATATTTCAGTCAGCTGTGTAACGCCAAACTTAAACCAACTGTTGCGCGTACACGATTAGGGCGATAAATACTTGCGGTCTGACACGGACTGACGACACACTGTAAGTGATTAAGTGAATGCTTGCGTACTGCATCCTCAAAAAGTTACGGTTACGGCCTAAACACAGCAGTAGGGCGCAGTTCCAGTTCGTACGTACACTTTCTCCGTAAGATCGTCATGTAAAGTCGTGTATGTATGTGTAGTAGTCTTGATTAGCACTAAACAAGGGAAAGCGAAGTTAACTGTACAGTACTTTGGGAGAGACCAGTGTACAACAACTTAATTGCATTTGCAGCTAGCTGTGTTTCAATCACACTGCTCACTGCATGCAGAATATGCATGCAAGCGCTACGACGAAGTCGTTAAATTAGAGTTCTCCTAATAATGCAGTTACTACCACATTATATTAGGAGTAAAGAATTGAAGAAGAATACTAAAATAGCACGTACTCAGATGCAGCTAGCTAGTCAGAACCGATCGGAGTGTCATTTACTTTCCTAGACGCGTACTCCGTGAAGTTAAAATTTTGAAAAAATTAGACGCGGTAGTATATATATTACCGTGTATATTTGCAGGCATTTTTTTTACGACAGGAGCATGCCAAATGGCGTCATTCATGCCTAGGCGACGGTACAGTCCAGCATGCAGTAGGGAGTGTGTACCGTGTACCCCCCAATTAACGAGGCGAGGCTTAATAGTAACAAAACCAATCTCGGCCCAGAACCTACGTGCGTACGCGCGCGAGTTCCGTCCGTATGGCGCGCCGTTCAAATTTTTCCAAACTCTCCCATGCTCCATGATGATGCACGCATGAGATATGCATGGGCCGGCCGGGGCGGCTCCCCTGAATGAAGCCAGCAAGATAGATACTCGTATTCATGAATGCTCGCTGACGATGATTGCAATTGCAATTGCAACCCGCAAGCCCTGCCTGCCTGTGGCCCCTCCTGGCTCCGAATCGAGATCCTGTGTCGGCCACGACGGATAGGAATTCATGCGTGGCATTCGTGCACGGCTCCACCACTTCCATTCTTCCAACGTGCTTCGTTCTCGTGTGCATGCGCGTACGAGTACCTCGGCATGGAGCGCAGCGCAGCAACACCGCGCGCGTCACGTGCATGCACTTCAATCCCGATCGAGGATTTTAATTCTACTACGAGCGGCACAAGAATTTTGAAACCACCTCCGCCGGGCTCCGATCCGGCATATCAATGTTGCACTGCTCCCCTCCCCCTGCGTCATTGATCGTCGTCCGTCGAGCCGGCCGGCCGGCAATCATATGGCAGCCAGGCCGATTCGCCATCGCATGGATCATGCATGGATGACGATGGTAATGCGCCCGTGAGTCGACCACCTTCGCCGTCCCAAAGTTTTTACGACGCGGGTACGCGTAGCTTTGGAAATGCTGCATGCGGTAGAATAGTAGATGGACAGGGACATCGGATAAGAGAAGAATCATTTGCAGTCACGCAAGCGTATGTAAAGGATGGAACGGAGGCGCCCGATCCCGATCGATGCCTGGGGCGGCGACGGTCGGAGGCCGTGCGTGTCCCGACGCCGCCAGGCCAGGAGACGGAGCGCGCGCGCGCGTGCCCAGGCGCACGTCCGTCGTCGGTCATAGGGAACGCGTGAGGCCACGCTGCACATTTACTCTACTCGTGCACGGGGCGGTTTAATACGCCCCCTACATACCACTGCTACATGCCTACATCCATCCTGGACGACGACGACGATGCGCGTGCTACGTACTCGATCAGCTGGGAGCTACTCCGTAGTGGACTCATGCATCCATCATCAGTTCATCACCCCCGGCCGCTTCATTTCTAGTACTAAGTACTAGCTGTGTGCACGTGCCTTCATTGGCTGGGTCACGATCTGGCCGTTTGGCTGCAGGATCGCGGGCGCACCACACATGCGTTCAACTTCAATTCAACCCATCACTTGTTGTAAAAAAACAAAAAAAAACATCACCATTCGCCAACGTCTAGTGATCGAGCCGATCGAATTGTTGTTGGCGATCCTCGCGCCACGATTCAAATGGTCGATAGGGTGGGGCCTGTCTCCGGGAATCTACAGCTGATATATTCGACTAGTACCTATATACGGATATTTGTTCAGTGTACACTGTACACGCTACACGTATGTACTCGAGCGCAAGCATTAATACGCGCAGGAGCAGGCGGCCCAATAAAACGTGGAGGGAAAAACGAAAACGTGCCAGTGCAGATAGCGCAGACGACGCAACTCTGCAAGCAAACACGTACATAGTTCAGGACTCAACATTTCAGCGGTGCCATTCGTCCTGTTCGCTTGGGCTTGTTTAGCTGATAAGCCATGGCTGAAAGTATTGTTGGCTGATTTGGTGTGAGAGAAAAATAATGTTTGATTATAAGCCAAACAAGCCCAAGCAAACAGGTTGTGGCTCTCGCCATTCGTCATCAGGGAAGTTCAAAACTTTCAGGGCTACCTGGGCATACTGTTGTGTGTTGTCGTACTGTTTATCTCTTCTCGCCCATCCATCCATGGCAGGTTCAAAATTCCCACCACAATGCAAGCAGCAGCAGCAGGTCTTGGCGCTGCTGGCCACGCCGGCGACGCCAAGCACTGCACCGCACGGCGGCCGGCGGGCCAGAGTACCGGAGCTGAATCCAAGACGGATTCCCTTCCCCTCAGCCCTCAGGCTCAGGGACCAGGACCAACGCGCCGCCGCGCGGTGTCCGTCACGCGACCAGCGTATCACTACCCGTTGCCGCAATTACTCCCCGGTCGAGGGCGGGACACCACACCATGCAGCCATGAAGCATCCAGCTTGTGAACTGCATCGTACTTCCCCGCTCTCCATTAACAAGTGGCATCACCTGTTATTAAAAAAAAAAACAAGTGGGATCACCAGCTACAAGCCTACAACACGACGCCACCGGTCTGGTCCCGACAAGATCAACAGGAAATACGGTTGCAGCATCGCCGCACCGTCTCGTTTCATCTCGACAGCCTTGCAACCTCTATTACAATTACAGTTACAGCACAGACAAAAGAAAAGGAGAATTACATTCCAAATGCAACGAGTATTTTATTCTTACAAGATAAGCTTGCAATGCAGCAGGTGCAGTAATTAAAACAACAGCAGGTGCAGTAAAATAATCTCACTTCGTTTGTTCCGCTAAACAGTCCGTTACAACCGAACACATGTTCAAATGTCTATCAAAACTGCTAAAACAGCATGGCAACAACTATGGACTATCGACGACGAATGATTTTTAATATAATCTCTTTCACCAATGGGTGCTACAAACAGCATGTGCGTCCCGGGGATCATCTCTCATATTCTCAACTCCTCTATGGTGTTAGGCTGGTTCCAAGACTTGCCTTGGTAGGATTTTTGTTTCATCCTCCACTGCGATATGTAGTCTGCCTCCTCCTGGAAGGGGTTTGGTCCACCAAAGTCTTGCTTTGATTTCCGTAATTTCTTTGTCTTCCCTTTGTCATACTCCTCGTCCCTGTAAAAAGAGGCCAAGCGAACATAAGCTCAGTTGAGTATTTGTTCCATTCAAAAGTGGTTAGGTCTGAAGTCCACTCTGACGTTTCAAACATGAATACAAGACATGGTAGAATATTAGTAGAGGTATATTCACAATAAACTGCAAAAGATAAAAACTCACCACTCATCTAGGACGTAACCAATGCTCTTGCGTTTGGAGTGTTGCCGCTTAGCAACCTTTGTATTTGGCACGTCTACATCATCCCAGCACGGAACTGAAAATCAAACAAACATACAAATCACAGGTTAGAATTGATGACACAACAGTATGTTTCATCTTTAAAATAGAATGTGCATCTGCAAAGAGAAGATGAGCTAACCAGTAGCTTCCATCAGGTCCGTTGCACGAATACTGACAGATTGGGTTACCACCAACTTAGCATCTACAGAAGAGCTTGGATCAGACTTTGGAATGTCAGCACTGCCAGAAGGTGCACTTGTGCCAGAACCAACACGAGCTCCATCGACCTTCTGCTTGTTTTTGGAGGACTGGGTATCATCTTTGGACCTTGCACTACCATGTGATCGTTTCTGATGGCTGGAGGTAGATTCTATAGTTTCAGAGCGTGCAGTGGCCGATGTTGATGTCAACTGCTCATTCAAACAAGATATATTTGCCGTGTCCTTACAAGCTACAACACGCCTTATAGTTCTACTTCTCTTATGTTTCGCTTTCTTCCCTGGCTTTAGTGAAGCTAACAACAGTTGTCTGGACCCTAACCACATGTTCACAACAGGATACCTCACAAACTTCTTTGACTTCAAATTCACCTTTTTCGCTGTAGTTCCATTGCATGAAGCAGCCACAGCAACATGCATAATACCACCAGAGCTGATCTCTACACCAGAATCTGCTTGTGCAATTACTGGTGCAGTATTGTTCTGTATACAGACACATGTACCAAATATAGACAAATCAGCTCATGTTTAACAAAATTGTGGTACTATTAGGATTTAATTCATCTACAAAGGAGCACAGTGAGAGGAAAAGTGGGGCGCTACCTGACTCATAGGAAGTGCCTTCGAGATTTCATTAGCTTGATCCACGGATTCTGGAAAGTTCCTTGCTTTCTCACTGGAAGTGAGACATCCAATGCCAGGCACGACACCATTTGAAACAACAGAATCCTGGAATTTTCACGAAATAAAATAAGCTATGAATCCTTCAAAAGTTATTTAAAAAACATACAGTGACCATCATACAAACCTTCTTGGATAAAGACCGTGCAGCAAACTCTGCAGCTGTGCCATTTACTTGGGGAGCTGGCTCGGAAAATGGAGCTGTTTGAGGCTGAGAAATCAGTTTGTCTGCCTTGGACAATGTAGAGGCACCATTTGCAATGGCAGAGACAACAGAAGTATTTTTCCCCGCGCCAGCCTTAGGTTCCATTTCCTGCAAGGGCTTCCCAACAACTGTCTGTTCACCACAAGTATTTGTAAATGGTGCAGGTTGGTGGGAGGAAGCTGTCTCCTGACTATTTACAGCAAACTGCATTGGTTTAGTTGGCAAGGTACCACCATCATTTTGAGCTCCACGGGCTTGTCTGGAAGGCAGGGCATTGTTTTGAGAGGCTGGAGCATCTTCAGCTTTGACCTCATTCCTTGAACAATGGCCTGTTACAGTCTTGCTGAAAATTGTAGAGTAGCCAATGATTGTGTTGTGCGCCTTATCACCAAACGGAGACACACCATTCAAATTTTGTGCTTTTACACTGCTTTGGGTAATACCATTCAGACTTGAGATCTTTTCAGGGGTTTTCTTCATGGGCACATTAGCAGTGATGTTCTCTTTGCGGGCCACTGACTTACCAATACTGTTACGTACATAAAATAACATATAAGCCTTTTGCTTCAATACGTCTGCCTCACGAACTTGGCGCACCTGCAGTTGATGCCATAAGAATCAGTGTGAGGAAAAACTAGAGTCTGCCAAAGTAGCCAAAAGGGCACAAAGTGAAAGTAGCACACATGACACAATGTAGCTCAACATATGATACAATTATTCTCTCTCATTTGTTGCCAATCTAGCCAATGGTTCTTCTCCATCAAAATGAACAAAAGTAATGTATCAAAACAGGATAGTAAGTGACATCAATGACAGGCAACCACGAATAAATCTACGGTAACACTTTCTAAAACCCCTAAACCAACAATTTGGCTAACTTGCATGAGCAACATTAAATCCCATGCAGATCCGCTGGTCTCTAATCCGTGCGGCCTCGCCTCTCTGCCAGTCTCCGCACGTCCGCGGCTCTGCTTCTCCCCTCCTCTCTCCAGTCAGCACCTGCTCAATCCACTTCATCACCCTAGTGCCTAGGTCCTCCCTTCCCTTCCCTTCGCTCAGCTCTGTTGCCAGTGCTTCCTCTACTCTAGTGCTTGTTTGAGTGTCTTGGCTTGGCTCTGCTTAATCTTACAGCTTGACTAGTTGTCCTTGGCTCTTCTCTGCTCTGCAGCCAACAAGGCAACAACAGAGTGGAGAGTCCAGCTGTATATGATCCAAGATGCAAAACGAAGACCACTGAACTCGAAAGATCCAAGATTATGGCTATTGGGCAGACCCTAAGGAGCGAGATAAGGTAACATGTAAGCTTTGCAACAAGAGGATTCTAGGAGGAATTAAAAGGTTTAAGAAACATCTAGCTGGTGGCTTATGGAAATGTGATTCCATGTCCAGAGGCTGGCAGAACTAAGGAAAAAAGATGGGAGAATACTTGGGTGCTGCTAAAAATGCTAATGAGTTTGATGACGACGGCGGATATTGAGAGATGAGAGCCAAGAGTTGGGTGCTGATTGTTGAAAAATTCCATGTGTCCTGTAATAGAGGGCGCGGTTCACTTCACTCCTTTTTGACGGGCATGCAAACACGCACCATTTATTGTTCCTTCTACCATGCTGTGTGCATGCTGCTGCACCGTGGAGTGAGCGTTTGATTGGCCAAGCGTGGATGAGAGATGGTCGAATAAACGTGTGAACAAAAAAACAGCTGCACTGCCATCAACGCATGGTAAATTAGTTGTTAGATGGAGTAAAAGTCCTTCTTGGTCTTTCTGTGGAAGCGAGTTGCGCCTTCTATAGCGGGACGGAGGGTGTACTTATTACCTTATTTTGTAATGTGGTGTGAAATTGTGGACTACTATTAATCTTGTGACTACTTTATTACCTTAGGTTGTTTTATGGCGTCGCTCAACCACGTGCCGTATGTGGCTAGGCGTCGTGAGGCGGTGGGTCACCACTTGTCGACTTAATGCCTTAAGAACCATGTAGATAATAGTATATTCTTGAAGAGCAACAAACTGAAGAACACTCGCTGCTTTGAAGAGAACTTGGAGGATTCAATAACAAATTAAATTGGTGTATGCACTGTGTGAGACATCGATAAAGCTTATAAAAGGTAGAGAATAAAATTCTAGAGCAGATAAACTTTGTAGTGTCCATGGAGCTAGAGGACTTAACATGAAAAAAAAATCTCTCTTTTTTTTGCGATAAACATGAAAAAAAAAATCTCGAGTAGTTTGATAAATATTAATTACATGGATACTAAATGAGTGTGCAAAGTAGAATTTAGTAGTAGCACTGGGAACTAAAAAACAGAATGAGCAAAACTTCATAAGACTAATGTCATACTAGACCTTGTTATCATCAAGATTGTGCCACATCCCGCTGGATGTACGAACGAAGCAATAGTAATGACCTGATTGAGTGTTCCAACCTGTATGGACTAGGACACCATAAAGGCTGTATTTAAAATCTGTAACCTGCACCAATAATCAAGATGAATGATAATACTATGAGAAACAAGATGAAAATGCTAAAGTTAATTGAAAGCATACAGCATAAAGCGAAAATTTCAAAACAAACTACTCACTTTAGAGTCACTAACAAATGGTTTCAAATCGAGACTTGGTTGGAAGTCCACTTTTTTGTCAATCTTCTCACGAGGATTGAAAGGGCTGAAGCGCTTCAGATGGATTGTCAAGACATTGGGAGCCTTATCAATTGTAAACCGTTTCTTTGCTACAACTTTCTGCCTGCAGCGTTCACACTGGTATTGCTTTTGACCCCCGTCTAGTAACTCATCCACAGTAAAATTTTCAAGTGCCCGCACTAAAGTCGTGGCCTTGGCAATATCAAGACTGAGGTCCAAGAAAGGATCAAATTTATTGAGCAATGTGAGCAACGCGTGCATTTGACCTGTAACAGATAAGGTGACCAACTAGTGATAAGGGAATGCGGTCTCTTCTGCCAGCCAAGGGATTAACTTCAACAATGCACAGAGCATACCTGACTTCTAAGGCGGCCACCAAATATTTTGTGAACTAAGCTTTTGTCATAAGCACTTTGAGACTCACTCGGCACCCCAGAAGGTAAACAGCATTTATGCATGGATTCAAGCAAATTAATCATTAACTCATGTGCATCTTCTTGTCTTGAATTGCGGAAAAGTAGAAATGCCTATTTTGCAGTTAAAGATACCATTCTGGTTATAGAATAAAAGCAAGACTGCAGAATCACGTAAATTTAAAATGATTTCAGTCATTTAATTCACAGAGAAGATAAAAGGATACAGCGCAAGTTCTTGACAATAACGAAATGGTGTCACTATTTTTCCAGTTGATTCTAGAGCAGTCTTGACATGGTTCTGAAGAGCACATAATGCACAAAATCCAGATGTGCTAACCTTCAGGGAAGAGAGAATAAATTAGCAACAGCAATAAAACAAATACCTCACTGTGCAAAAATAAGAGTAGATTTTTGCTTGTTTAACATGCTTCAGGGTAGAGAAGAACTTTAAGTTTCCTAAAAAGCCTGTGTCATGAAAACGTACTTAATCAGTAGCATGATTTCTACTCCATACAGACATGCATCATGGTCATGGAACAACAGCTCAATTGTAGCAGTTATGGTGATTTACAACAAATCAGTAAGAGTTTCCGTACTAGTGGTATTTTTCACTATACAAACATACAAGAAAGAATACCTTTTGTCATACCATGAGAAATCTGTGCACAGAAATAATGATTAAGCATCAGATAGCAGATTTCCTATCAATTTCCACAGTGCAGATACAAGTGCATTGTCTGGCTGCCTTACTATCTCATAACTAAATAGGGAACAAGTAACAAGTTTACAACGAATAACTTGAATACTTGATGCATCATGTATATACAAAAAATACCACCCCACTAGTGAATACACATAAGCACACTCAGCTTCAAGAAATAGATCTTGTATTAATATGAACAACGTCAAATACGGTACTAGCGGGATGACTGATTTGGAAATACAGGAAGAGCAATCAACTCATCACACATGAAACTGGGTCAACTTTGAATCCTGAACATTGAGTACAGTGGATTGAATACATCCAACTAGAGGGAACACAAAAAAGTAACATTCCGGTATGAACTTAATACTTTATTCATTGTACGTGGCTCATCAGATAGCCAGAAAATACAGATTCGTGTAGGACTGGGTATCTCAAAATGTACTAACTACGATTCATATTACGTACAATGTTCAGGCTAGTGAACAACTTCACGGTAGTCTTTTTTGAAGAGTGGGCTTCTTATCCATCATTGTCATTAAAAGACAACTTTTCAGTTTTCACCCCAAGCTGCAAAAACTTGCAGCTCTAAACTTGGATCAACCATTAGAGAAAGTTCCATGCATGATATGGGATGCATCTTAGTTGGCTGGACAAGATCCAGGCTGAAGAAATGGTGAAATTGGGCAGTGGAGTAAAAACGAATAACATTGTCCCATTCGAGTCTTGGCAATGAAGGATTAGAGGTACTCTTGTCTTTGGTGTCACACCAATAAATGACAATAGTACATGAAATTGGTTTAGCTTAACTTCCAGATGCGTATAATATTCAGTTCAGTTACTGCTGCCTCTGAAATCCACAAGCTCATATGTAACATTGTCATCTGACAAAATGTGTCGAGCCGGCTAGTTAACAGTACCAACAGCACTTACATGAGGACTTGTGCTTCCCGCTCTGTAAATAGGCTGCGAAAGGTTCCGTGTACGTCAAGCATTGAAGAACTGAGTTGAGGTAGCAGGTATTCCCAAGATTTTCCAAACCAGCACCCTGCAAGACATCAAGGAACTACAATTTACAAACCATTCTCCACCACACTAAAACCTGACGAAATGACCTGAGCAAAACAAGCACTTTGAATAACTAAATAACCAAAAATCCCAGCTACTTTTAACTTCAGTTACCCAAATTGACAGCTCTAGTAGTCTAGTGGCAGGCAAACCAGGCACTGCTACTGTGCCGCCCAAACCCCTACAAAAACTGAAAGTTAAACAGTCCAAATCCTCGAAAAGACTACAACTTTGGGCACTCACAATTCTCCCAAGGTAGATCCTGGCGACGCTGAGCTCTGGATCGATCCCGCCGGCGTCCCCCTTCCCCGGCCTCCTCGCCTCCCCCTCGTTGCTCCCAACCGCCGCCCCGGCCCCCGCCTTACCAGCGGCGTCAGGGTTCAGCGTCTCCATACGGAACCCGCCTCCGCCCACCGCCACAGAGGCATGCGGCCACCGCGCGGGGTGGAACTCAATCCGCCGGTGCAGCACCCCCTCGGGCGCCGCCGCCGTCGAAACCTCCGCCATTCCTAGGGTTTCTCACCACAGCGGAAGCAGCGCAGAGCCACGAGACCGGGCAGGCAGGCGATTAGCACTTCACTGAATTTCTGGTGGAATTCTGTCGGATTAAACCTTGCAGGGTCGATCGATAGGGAAGGGGAAATTGGTGCGGCGCGCTGTCTTTTTTTTTTTATTTTTTTTCTGGCCGCCGTTCGCGACGCGATGGCGGAAGAGAGGAGGAGCTGGAAGTGGGAGGCGGAGCTAAAAACCCTATACCCCTAGCGAATGGACGACTGAGATCGGAGGGACGAGGGAGACAGGACGATCTGGACTGTTCAGATTTGAAGCACGTGGTTTTGCTTCGGAGATACTGTGCAGTGGGCCCGTAGAGGAACGCGGAATGTGAAGTGGGCTGCAGCCTGCAGCTGCGGGCCCGAAGCTTCCAACTAAAAAAACTTTGGCTTGAGGGGATATTAACGTAGTGTATTCTCTTATAAGGGCGCATATTTAAAAATCATTTTACCAAATATTTATATAAGGGCGCTGCGGGAGCATACACGTGCAGGATTTGGAAGTTCGACGCGCAGACCTCTCGCACAACAGTTTCTAGTAGAAAAAAACGCACACAACAGCTCTTCATCCCCGACTCTGGAGTCCTCGCCCTCGCCGCCACCACCGCCCCACCACGGCGAGCTAGGGTTTCAACGGAGCTCTGTGGCCATAGAAATCCTAGCTCGCTTGTGGCGCCATCTTCTCCCCCACCCCCCACCCGTCGCCGCCACCATGGCCGGAGCTCCCCTGCGTTGACTTGGCCCGGCCGCCGATGCCGCCGCCAGCTCCCCTAAACCACCCACCGCCCATCCCCACTGCCTGGCCGACCTTCCTCCCTTGGCCAGCCCCTTTCTATACCCATCGGAGTTGGGGAAGACAAGGGAAGAGCTTGTCGGAACCCTGGAAAGCAGATCTAGAAGGAGGAGAAGAGAGGGAGAGAGCAAGAGGCCTACATGGCGTAGATCTGCCACCGTTGGATCCGGCGAATCAGCCACCGTTGTCGCATCCGCCATGGTCGCGCGCGGGGAGGCGGCCGGATAGAGAGAGTGCGTGGCGTGGGCGACTGAGTGCGGGAGGTGGAAGGCGTGCGGGCACTAGCGCTAACACATGCGTGCCCGTAATAAATCATTTATGTTTATATAAACTACCACTAGAGAAGATTTCTAACATTCTTATCAATTTCGTTTGCTTGGCATGACATGTCAACATGTCAATGTGTGGGGTCTATGTGAAAAGACAAGAATACCTCTCCCGACTTTCATAGACATCCACCGCGTCGCGCTTTGTGAATTGCATCGTCTGAACAACATGTTGTCATTATCGCTTGTAGGGTTGAGATGGCGGACTAGAGGGGGGTGAATAGTACTTTCTAAAATTAATCGCGACGGCTAACCGAAACAAATGCGGAATTAAAACTATCGGTCTAGCCAAGACTACACCCCTCTATCTAAGTTCATAAGCTCATTATAAAGATCATAATTAGACAACAAAGGTGCCGGACTAGTTAGAGCTCACCTAAACAATTCTAGAGCAAGGTCACACAAACCTATGCCCTAGTACATCAAGCAACGAGTGAGCTCATACACATGCTAGTAAGCAAAAGCACAAAGCCACCTAAGCTCACTAGCAATGCTCAATAATAAGGCTACACAAGCCAAATTATAGAGCGTAAATTACTTAGCTACACAAACTAAACAATATGACTAACAAGGTTACTTAAACCGAATTAGTCACGCAAGGGAGCTACTTTTATACTACACAAGCAAGAAGATAACTAGCAAACTACACAAGTGCAACGTATGAAATGTATGTGTGAAGGGGAATGCAAACCAACGGGATGACAATGTTGAATGGTGATTTTTATCTCGAGGTTCACGTGTTTACCAACACGCTAGTCCCCGTTGAGATAAGCTCTAAGGTTGCCGCCGGTCCTCTTGCTAGCGGTGACCCACAAGTCATACTCTCCCACATGGAGTGCTTACCACAAGCTCTAGCACTTGACCCGACTGGACCACTTGTCGCCCTTCACATCTCGCTCTACTAGAGTTGCTCTTTGCAGCTCCCGTGGGGTGAGCACAATTCCCCTCACAATCACTTCTCCGGAGCACCGCACAACCTTTTTTGTGTGCTTCGACGGAGACCACCACCAAGCCATCTAGGAGGTGGCAACCTCTAAGAGTAACAAGCACCACCGGCTTACTACTCGATCATCTAGTGCCACTCGATGCAATCTCTCAATGCAATCGCACTAGAATCGCTCACTCGCAATTAATTCGCACTCTTTGCAAGCACAAGTGAGTTAGAGGCTCTCCTAGCACTCCCCAAGCAAGGACACTAAGTCCCAAGGGTGCCAAGCACCAGCCAAGGCCGGCCACACACTCCTTTCTTAGCCTCAAGGGCTAAACTAGCCGTTACCCCCTTCACTAGGCTAAACTCTAGACGACCAGACGCTTAGCACAACATAACCGGACGCGTAGGCCCCTGCGTTCGATCACTCTCCACTGTCCATGTGTCGTCTGCGTTCAACGTCGAACGCTCGATCCCAATGGTCGGCTCTGCACGCCAACGGTCAAAGAATGACTAGACACGCCAAAGGATGACCTGACGCACGCAACCCGCGTCCGCTCGCGTGCCACAGAGCCAAGGATCGGACGCGCCTCTGCCTTGACCTGACGCTGTGTTGCGCGGAGTCAAGTTGACTCTAGAAACTACCCCATGAGGGATTTTGATGATCGGACGCGTCCGTTCATGATGCACCGCGACGTTCGCTCCTCTCAGCCTCGCACGCCAGCCCTACGTCAGCAACGAACGAACATAGGAGTGTCACGTCTGATCACCTCCAGGCTCCAGTGTCTGGTCATCAAGATCGAGGCCATGCCACTTCAGCTAACACTAACTGGACGCGCAGGTCTTGCTGAGGCCAGCGTCCGGTGACCTTCAGTGACATCTTTTCGCCTTCTTTTCTTCACCAAGTTGATCCACATCAACTCCAACTTCTTCTCCTTTGCAAATGTGCCAACACGACCAAGCGTACACCACTATGTGCATGTGTGTTAGCTTTTCACAAACATTTTTAAGGAGTTAATCACTCAATTCATCACGTCACTTGATCCTAGAAACATCGCAAAGTTAGATCGCTCAAGTGGCACTAGATGACCGATATGCAAACAAGTTTGCCCCTCTTAATAGTACGGCCATCTATCCTAAACCCGTTCATAAACTTCTCTACACACCTATGACCGGTGAAATAAAATGTCATACAAATATACCTTTGCCTTGCGCATTCCATTCCATCTCTTCCAATGTTGATGCAACACATGCACCAACCAATCTCAGATGATATGATCCACTTCAAATCATCATGTGACCGTATTAATTCATAGATCTTGACTTCACTTGCTCTTCACCGTTGCTTCGGTCCATCGACACCAAGTCATCACTCAATTTGCCCTTCACAATTGCAACTGGTTTGTCGAGCCAAGCCTTGTCTTGATCTTCTCCACCTTAGTCACATGACTCAATGCCATGTCTCATATGCAATGAGCTCCTTCATCACATGTGTGAGCTTTGCAACATCTCCAAGCCATTTTCACCTCCATGGCATATGTTGCTCACACACATGTACCTGTGGACTAATCACCTGTGTATCTCACATTAAACACAATTAGTCCACCTAGGTTGTCACTCAATTACCAAAACCAAACAGGGATATTTCAATCTCTCCCTTTTTGGTAATTGATGACAACTCTACAAAGATATTGAAATTAAGCTCTTTTGGATTCATGTTGCTTGTCCAAGTAATTTTACTAGGTGTAAATGATTTTAGACAAGTACCACAAACCCTAATTGGTAGTATTAGCTCCCCCTACATATATGCAAGAGTGTTTGGTTTGAAACTCGCACATATATATAGATTGGAATTATAGGAGAGTAATTACTATCAATGATGCTAAGGTGTAAAGAATTAACCTTTGATGCGTGATACCAATTGGAGTGCACATTTTAACACCATCCTTAGCACCATAAGTAGCTAGACAACAAAAACACTAGAAACCCCGTGAGATCAACATTATAAGCAAGGTTCTAGTTTTTGCTTGAAAAACACAAGTCTAGCTATACCATCATATGCATGCTAGTTATCAAATCATCAATCAAGTTCTATAACTAGCATACAACACACAAGCATGCATATCAAATTTTAAAAACATGCAATGCAAGCAAGCACATAAATATGCACATATCAAATGCAACCAATCAAAGTTCATGAGCTTGCTCCCCCTACTTGTGTGCTTCTCTTGTCCAAGAATTTTGATCCTTCTCCATTCTTCAATGTTGCTCCCTCTTTGTCCATGTCTAACTTCTACTTCTCCCCATGATGCATTTACATATCTTTGTTCCAACTTCTCCCCCTTTGTTATCCATTTCCATAAAAGGTGTGCTTCTTTTAATACAAAGTATTGCATTGAGGTAGATGGTTGACATTTGAATCTTGCATTTTTTATGGACACCACCACATATGTTGGAATGACACCACTTGTATCCCTTGAGATACCTCATGTAGGATATTTGGCCTTGATACCAATCGGTGGGACACCTCCCCCTATGTCATAGCATGGGTCATCCACTTGATAAACTTGAGCTCTTGTTGGTGAGGGAACTATCTTCACTTGATGATCACTTAAAGTTGAGGATCACTTGTGGAATCACCATTTGATGTGCTAGATACCACTTGTATGAATCTCACTTGTAACAAGGTGATAATCTAGATATACCACATGTAGGAACAATCATGGAACCACTTGTAGAATTTATCAATTACAACCATTTCTTGAATACTTGTCATCTTCATGAGCTTATATGTTGACTTAAACTGGATTGATTTGCCTAAGTTTCCAAGTCCGGTTTGAACCCTCTCTAAACTTCTTCACACACATTAAGCAGTTATCTTATCGAGGTTGTACTTGTCAATTGTTGGC